AAGTGTTTCGGGGTTTGAAATTAATAAGAGATATATATGTTTAGCCCATATGAGGACAATTTAAAGTCACACAACTATAGAGAAAAAGAGCGAAGGTAAATCCTGACCAATTCATTTCTGGATAAGTTGCCGGTTTGACATTGTTCTGGAAGAAACACAAACAAACTATATTCGATATAAAACTTTTGCTTACCGCTACTGTTAGTTAATATCAATAAAAAGCAGTAATTGAAAAGTCATTAATAGTATGCAGTAAGTAAAAGGTTATACATTGAGATTTCAACTGTAGCCTCTTCTTAACTGGTTTCAAAGCAGATTTATGCTCCCCAGATTGTCTGGGTTGACGGGTGATTGTAGAACGCAACGCTAAAGTAAAAAGGGGGCTGAGAAAAAGCTAAAGCAAGGGCATTAATGGTGCAGTGGGTAACACGTGAGACCCGGGAAAGTGTAGTCGCTGGTTCGCATCTGGTGTGTGGTCTGAGTTCTGCAACCACATCAGGATCATTGTGGTTCGATTTCGCATAAAACTATATTCAATTAGAATGTGTGCATAAATTGAAGGACGTTTTGTCAAAAAATAAATTGCAAGTGGAGATTGATATACTTAGCAACAATTTTTTTCTTCCTACGAACAAAGATATTTGATTCCATGGGATACCTAGTAAACGTTTTTTCCATGGACAAAAGTATACTACACGTTTACCACCACAAAGGCCATTTAAGATAAAACATTCTCGATGGGGATTGAACCAGCAGTTCAATCTTACACTATGCGATTAATTTCTAGTGACACTCACAACGTTGCTGAGATATTTGCAAAACTCTGGACCGCAGGTGTATGCGGTGAGGAACGAACGCGCGCTATTGTCCTTTCCGGGGAGTAACACATTCACCACCACAGCATGCGGGTCCTTTGTTTCGCCTGTCTCACAGCTATTTCTATCGATCTTTGCCACGAAATTATAGTAGGCAGAAAATAAAAAGGTATAACATTCTAGTGACACTGTTTGCTCAGAAAATTATTGCGCTACAATTACACTTACTGTATACTTATCATCGAAGGCGGTGACACCAAGCCGTGAAGTGAACATCTGACAGATCAATCTGCTGACGGTTGCGAAGTGAATGGCGTGGCGGACTCTATCCGTGTTTCTGGTGGCACATCCAAATCTATTTCATGTTTATTGTTTGTTTATTCCCAAGTACATCTCAAACCAATATTTAGCTTGCCATGGAAGTGAAAAACATTGCTATTCTCCTAGTTGAGAAAGTTTTCAGACATATGTTTATCGTTTATAGTGTTTCCTAGAATAACTGCTAATTTTGCTCATGGGTCATTGTCAATTTATGGCTATTTCTACTCACATGAAAACATGAACACCTGCACATACGATGCATTTATACGGCAATCTTGAAGAAAACCGTCTAGCTGTGAACTTGTTTTTAGAGTACTCTTTGACATGACCTAAGTAAATATCCAGTCCGCGATTTCGGGTCCTTTAAAAGAACAAGTGAACATTGCGAACTATGCCGCAGATATTCTCTCTTCTATGTTACCGAGAACAGAGATTATTGCTAGTGAGGAAAACACTCAAATATTACGAAGAAGGCACCTAGAGTGTATCCTTATCACTGTTCTTCCACCTAGTTAGTATTTCTTCATGAACACTGCAGGGCTCCCGAGTCGCTCGTATTGAAGCATGTGTAGAAATAGACAATATGTAAGAATGTCATGACGCACACAACACATTCTAAACCCACCACCATGGGCTGGTAGCATCGCGGTTATACCGCTGACAAGGCTTTTTTCACCACACACACGAATTAAGAATGTTTAAAAACAGTGAAATACAGTGAAACACATGTGAGGAAATTGCGAAGCACCTAAAACATGAAAGTCACAGAGATTAGTAAAAATACTCATGGAAAACTGAGTTTCAAAGCGAAGGACATAAAAGGGAGAGTGGCCATCTTCTGGGCACAAATGGCCTCATCCCTCGAGCTCAGCGCATGCAACGCGCTGTGAGAAATTTGACGTACTCTCACGAATCTGTGAAATTAGACTTGATCATAAGCGTACTAATTGGTTGTAGCTGGCGTTTTAGCAATTTTTTTTTGCCAGTGCTTGAATGTATTTCATCGACATACAGTTATTTCTATCAAAAATTTTTTTTTAAGTTGATGCACACACGAACACAAAGCGATAGGGATTAGTGCTAATGCTATTTCAAAAAATGGTAGGTCTTAGCAAATTTTCCTGACGTTTTATTTTTCACGCATTGAATTTAATTACAGCAGTGGTGGGACTCTCCCAGCGGATTATCGCCTCATCGTGGCTGGGAGGTGTTTCTGCAAATATTCCTGTGATCCACAAGAGCAGCGACTGCCTGGGGTGGTGACGACGTGGGGAAGACTTTGGCTACGCTGACCTCGGGACAGCAGGATGAGTAGGCCGACAATGGAACTACAGGAAACCACAGTGGCTAAATCTGCAGAACTTCGAAAAAATGGAAATTATGTTGATGTCCGCACAACCAGTGATCACGGGCCATCCAAGTATCCAAGCATGTGGTGGTGCATCTAAAAATCATGACAACTTTCAAGAATGCGCTGCTACATGAGCCCAGTATTGTGCAAAAAAAAGTTAAGAAACGCTAGCGAACCCTGTGACCAATCCAGTTAACACTTACAAACTAATGCTCGTGCTATTGTGTCGGATTATCTACATAGAAATTTTCGATCTGGAAATATGGTGAAGCAGCCTTAATTGAGTAATACGCTATGCTGAGACCCATCTGTTTCTTGTAGAACATCGGAAACTCTCGAATCTTTTCCAATTTTGTAACTTCATACGATCCATGGGGTGGCATCGGCGTTGAGTCCCCGGGACCGTTCGTTTCGAAATTTCTCTCATAATTCGCTCGATTTGACGGCGCGTAAACACCACCGACCTATTAGGTCACTGTCTTTTCTTCACTCATCTGCCCTTACGTGACGATCGCCAACGATTTCGGATAATATCCCATGTCTTTCTGACCTGATTCTCAAGATACATAAAAATTTTTCTTGTAAGTACGGCTTGAGTGAGAGCATGGAGGCTCGTACGAATTCTTTCCGTATCCCGTACTCCATTTGTTGTTGATTTTCGTTCCATCATAATCCATTCTAAAACAATTGTTTCATAATATTCTAGTTTATCTAAAGTATAAACTAACTAATTATAACTAAAACTAAGCAGTAGACATCTTTTCCAACTGTTATCGAAAGTAATTAAATGAGTGCTAGCTTTCTCATCAGCGGTTCCTTCCTGAAGAAGACGTCTACTTCTATACTACTTGTGAATTTTACTGACGGTTTGACTTTTTGTGCTATGCCCTATTATTCCCTCCTTACTTCCCTATTTTTTTTTCTCACATAAAGATCTCTAAATAACAGTGGAAACAGCAAATATCGTGGAAATGGGTTCGGATCCGGTTTATGGAGAGTTGACGTCCTTCATTCTCCTAAATTTCGACACCTTCCTTTTTTGCCTTCTCTGCATTATAGGTTGTAAGGCTATCTCACTGACTATATTCATTGAAATGCTTATTATGAGAGAGCAACACAGTACTACGACTGGTTTCTTTTACTTTTATTATCCGTAAATATTCCGCGTCGGTCAACTGCCTCTTATGGCTCGGCGTCATTTCTAAGTGTCGAATTGAGCTCCACAGCTGGATTTTTATTCCCCCAACGTGTCCGCCCAAGTCAGGAAGGTTTTCGAAGTTTCTTTCTTATAGAAACCAATTATCCTCAAATTCTCCCACTAGGTACTTCTACGAGAGTACACTTGGAATATATGGGGCATATCTTATTAAGTGAATATAGAACACCTTCATTCCGTCTACGTTTTCCCAACGCATGTTGGGATTATTCGTTGCAAGAGACTCCTGAACATTCCTCATGTACTTCAGAGTTAATTGGTAATAAGCTGGGTGAGCCGATATACAGGGTGCAATCCATATCTACGTCGCCATTCTCATGCATGCATGAACGAACTGTCTATGTATAAAAGATATATGTCAATCCGATACGACGGGGAGACAATCTATCTCCGAAATTCACCTATGTAGGGAATAAGTGATGAGGCGCTACGGGTTGTAAATAACCAGTTTTCTTTCCGGATGTTTGTGCTGCTAAAGAGTTCTTCATTCAGTCGATAACTCTCCAAAACACATGTTGAACAAAATATCGGCAGAGCAAAACTACTCCCTGCATAGTGCATTTTACGAAGACTTCTTTATGACTACTAATCCCATTTTGTTGACTTTTGCGGAGACAAATTTCTACAAGTACTAGGATGCTAGGATATCTCCATTGTAATATTCACCCTTGTTTTGTGTCGTTGTTTCACTGCCTTAACCTCTTGCTAGTGGTATTCCTGCGTGATGAAATACGCTTCGTATCGGGGATTCGTCCCTCAATAGGGCCACGCGAGCTGAGGCGGTTCCAATATTTCCATCTAGAAGCTCAACCGAGACTAAACAGTTGAGGAAAAGACCAACGGGTTGTAAATAAAATTTCTTCATTGCTCACATCTGGTGTCATGTCATAGTGGTCAAAAAGGTATTTCTCATACAGTGAAGTGTTTGTTCGTAAACTGAAAAATTCGCTTCGGATCCCTATGAGCCTATGAGCTGGCATCTGCCCATGATAACAACCTGCCAACGCTTTGACAGAAACATCTTGATAAACTACGTCGAAAAATCCTCCAACCAATGGTGTATGATTTTAACTGCATGAGAAATTTGAAGGCAAATTATCTGGATTTTTGTATGAAACCTACTTTTCACGATGTGATCAGAGCACTTTTATTGGAGAGTCCTTTAATGTTATCGCTATAGTCTGCATAAAGGTTTGATAAATATTACACGGTCATTTCACGGAACGTGCCGTTTGTTGACCACCTCATTATTAGCCCGTTCTATAGAGGAATTAGAAACAGTTCCATTCAATTTTAGATGTCAGAAAAACCGCCTCATCCAAAGGCGGAGAAAAAACGACAAGTTCCTACGGTTGCTTTACCTAAGGAGCCAAAGGAGAAGAAAGGAATTTTAAGAAGTCTTTCATTTCAGGTTTGAATAGCTGCGTTCTAAACGAGACAAATGTTAGATAGTAGATTACTACTCACTTTTGGTCCTTCTGCTTTCAAAAAAGTTTTGGTCGACCAATAAAATATTTTCTAAGCTGGTTTTCACCGAAGAATTTCGCTGGAGACTTAAATGCAAAGTCGTTGTGTCAATAACAAGCTGAGTGTGCAAAAATTGCGTAGCTCGAATGTTGCCACTGAAATTGAAGTCTGTTTTTGCCAACGAAGTTTTGAAAATTTTTAGTTCTCGAATCTTGGGAAGAAGAAGGATAACCACTATGACATGACACCAGATGTGAGTAGTGAAGAACTGGGACCGGTACGTGGTGTTCAGTGTTACGGAACTCTTATGAAGAAGTATAAGAAGAAGAACAGGCCAGCCAAGTGGTCAAAAAGGTATTTCTCATTTTTCACGTGTAGTTTTATTTGTCACCCATGAAAACAAAATGCTTTTGCTCTAGGTTTTTCGTCCTGAAGGAGTGCTTCCTCATCTACTACTCAACAAGTTTCAAAAAGAGGTTTCAAAAGACCAAGAGGATAGATCTACATCCGAAGGTTGGCCTGACACCCATGCACCGTTCTTTAGTGGTTAGGCAAGTGTGCAGTGGGGCTTTGAACCTGCGATAATCCTTTCGTGTTCTCACGGCTCACGTATTATCCACTGTCCTAACCGAGGTACTTGCTTTGCTTTTCTCTCATTGAGTTTTTTACTCTGGCGGTGCTGTCCGAATTCACCTTTAAATGGAATGATCTGGAGAGCACAATTGGCACTGGACCCAATTAAGCTGAAGGTGCAGTCGAAATCTCAATGTTCTAACTTTTATTTACTACTTATTCATTTTTTATACGAGAGTACTATGTGAAATATAACTTTTGGGATACTGAGATATTAGCAAGACTCTAAGAGAACAAAGATACGAGCTTATGATAAGAGCAGTCGCGAGTTCGAAACGCAGATGAAGTTCCAAATTTTGCTATATCTCAGCATCCCTACCGTTGAATTTCACATCGTAGCCTGCAATGAAAAAACAGTAGGCAAGTAAGAAAATTACTATTTGTTTCAAGCTTTCAATTTTGGTGGTGGTGGTTACGGCAGTAACCTCAAATACCATCAAACTATGGCCTAGAAAAGCGCTTCGGAAAGTTCAATGGTAAGGTGTTTCACATTGTTTATTCCAGAGGCACGAGTTTTCTTGATGAAGAAAGTCAACGCTTACCAGCTGCTTGTGATAACAATTTGAAGCCCATAATGAAAGCTGACCCTTCAACAACTATTCCATATCTTGCAGAAGAACTCACTTTGACCACTCAAGAGTAGTTCGTTATTTGAAAAACAGTGGAAAGAGGAAAACACGCGATAAATGTGGGCGACGCGAGTGGGGTGAAGAGGTCGGTGATGTGAAGTCTGCACTGCTGTTCTGTTGCGCAACAACAACAACATCACTTCTCAATAGTGTTGTGTACGATACGATACGAGATGAGAAATGTATCCTGTAAAAAAATTAACTACATTCAAGTATTAAAGCAAGGTGATGGTCTGCAGTCGGGCTAATTTGCAAGGATGTTCTGAACTTTTACGAAAGAACGGAGTAAAAAATTGGTCATGAAATTGATGAGATAGGCTTAGAAAACTTAAGCGCACCTTTCCAAAATTGACCAACAATCTTCTTACAGAGCAAGGCTCCAACAACCACTGCAGAACTAACGCTGTAGATGCTGAACGAATCGGACTACGGTATTCTACCTGATCCTATGTATTCGTCGGATCTCAACGGAGTCGATAATTAGTTTTGCAAGTACCTCGATAACTTCTTCCAGGCAAAGATCAAAAACTGGTCTTATGCGGGATTCGTCGCTTACCGAACTTCAGAATTTTAAGTCGATAACTAGACTTCTGTGTTACAACAAAATTAGTTGCCAATAAGTGAAGCTAAACTCTCCACTACCGGCCTATGCTTGATTTCAATAACGAAAGCGTAAATTTAAAAACCACTCAACTGAGACTAACAATAGCTTTAATGATGCTGAGATATTTGCAAAACTCCGGACCGCAGGTGTCTGCGGTAGTGAACGAAAGCGCTATTGTCCTTTCAGGGGAGTAAAGCGTTAACCACCATACCATGCGAGTCCTTCGTTTCGCCTGTCTCTCAACTAGTTCAATCGATCTTTTGCCATCAGCAATCACCCGCCAGCGAGATTGATCTGGGGAGCCTAAATCGGCAACGAACCCAGTTTAGCTGAGGCTGTGGTTATAATCACAATTTTTAACTTATTATTAACTAACAATAGCACTTTTTGAGCGTCTAAAGTTACCTGATGAGCCATAAATCGACATGAAAGAACCATAAAAAGATTTGCTTATGATATTTGCTTAGGTGTTTCCAACTTCAGTTTAACTTATGCAACTTTTCCTTACTTGCTTTTAAACAGTAACCACTTTTTCTCAAGTTGTATGGCTTGAATTTTATTACTGTCCTACCATTCTGATTTTTTAAGGCGTAATTAAGAACTATAAGACATTTTATTCTAGTAAATGTTTTGCTTTATCAAGTTGAAGCTTTTTTAGCATTAAGATTCTTAGATTTAATTATTAAAAATTGTACTTGTTCAGGGCATCATCCCGTTGATTGGCTGCTCGATCGTTTGTGGTGGAGATGTGGGCAAAAAGCATTGCCTTCTCATCGCTCATCCCCAGTTCCCAACCGCGATCATAGTAGCAGCTCCAGACTTCAAAACACAAGAGGAGTGGTTGAAGGCGCTGAGAAGTGCCACAAGGATGTCAGTTTAAGATGTAGTATTGTACTAAGTGTTGGTACGTCATGCTGTTAGGAGTGGGCTAGCATAGTGTACTCGGATACAACCGCTGCGCAAGCACTTGCTGGATCAAACCATGTTGCATTCCTTCGCCAACGGCTTCTTCACCTGTTCGTCTTCAAATAACTGCGTAAATGAGCTTCTGTAGCTTGACTAAGCATTCTTAAACTAAGCATGATTGCGAGTCGCACCGCCGATAAGAAGTAAAACCACTATGAACTTCGGTCCTTGCAAGCATTTTTGAAATTTTTTGAAAATGTTACAATACTGGCGCGAAAAATGGCCACATCCCAGTCCTCCACCATTTTGCCTCGTTTTATATAAAATTGCGTCATTTATTGATTTAGCCCATTTAGAGCAGTATTCCTCCCAACGGTTTACCGCCTCATCGTGGCTGAGAGGTGTTCTTGGATGTCGGACGGCAATGTGCAGCGGGGGGGGGGAGATTCGTCTCCCCGTCAGAGTCTCCCGGGCTGAGAAGGAGTCCGGCGTTTCCATCAGGAAGCCCAGCTAAGAGTAAATCAATATTGGGATCCACCACCGTCTTGGTATCAGAGTCGCATAGTGGTAAATCTCCCTCTGATCCACAAGGGCTGCGACTGCCCGTCGTGGTGACGACCTGGGGAAGACGTTCGCCAGGTTGTCTCCAGGGTTCCAGGAAATCACAATGGCTTAACCAGCAAATTCTGGAAAAGTGGTGGTTATGCTGGGGCCCGCATAACTAGTGATGACGGGTCGTTCAAGTATCAAGTATGTAAGAGCAGTATTTTCAGTTGTACTGTGTTTGTAAACCGTATCTAGATTTTTTCCAATATGTTGGCTTTGAAAAAGCGTATAACAGGAAAATAAAAACCAATGAGAAGAAAGTAAAGAAAATAGCCTCTAGTGGATTATTAAACAGCCTAAACATCTTTGGACCTACACCGTTCGATTTGTGCATAACAGGCATAGAGAACTGCTTAAGTAAGACGTGGCCGAATTCCCAAAGCCTGAAGAAAAATCTGTTCTGCTTTAACATGTTTGCAACCATATGGTAAGAATGCGATGCCTTTTTTGCCTATTTGTTTTGCGACACGATCACTTTTGCCAATTTTTTGTACTCAATCGATACCTTCGGTACAACAGAAGTCCTACCAAGTTTAGTCTGAACAAGGGAATTCCCTATTAAGACGTCATTTTCGGTACGAATTTTTTTCATCCCGCCACTGCTTTGTTAGCTATGAGGAGAGTGCTTCTTTGATTCTCGCGCTTCCTTTCAGGAATTGGTAGACTTGAGTCCATACATAAAATATTTCTGCAATGTTTTCAAGATGACCCTGATTTCGTATCGCATTTGACTCTTTTGTAGTAAAAGCAAAAAAACGTATGTGTACCCAAACAATAGTTGATAGCGTAATGTATTCAACAAAACGTGTTTTTGAGATCGTTCAAAAACACACTGGTCGGTGAGACGATGATTCGCGAGTTGGAAAGCCGTGGTGTGATGTTGTGCGAGGAGAAGAAGACGTACGAGGAGAAGCTGGAGCAGGAGGCGAAGGCGCGCCAGGAGGAGCACGATCGCGCAGCGGTACGTTCGTCGTTATCGCTCTCTTCCAGAGCTTGAGCGCTGCTAGACTCCATTTTTTGCTAAAAGAGCAACTAAAATAACTAACTAATATATGTGTTCTCTCATTGATAAGGACAATCGATTCGGATCAGTCCAGCCCTCAGTGAAGCGAAGGCGCAGAAACGTAGCCAAACAAAGTGTTTTATCGACTTCATGTTAACTTGTTAGTGAAAATGTACATGTTGATTAGCCATGGTTCAAGGAAAGTCGATTTTGAAATAACTTATATGCGTTCAACACGTACAACTAGTACCATGAATAAGAGACAGAAAACAGTGAATTTATGTCAGCTTGATGAGAACGGACACACAGCAAATCAATAGTGAGGAAGATTTGCATCTGAAAGCTTTTCTCAGTTGAACCTTATCTTCTCCTTCCAATCCTCTTTAATTTCAGAGCTCTTTTATCTGTTCACTGAAGTTAACTCCAAAAAAATTTCTTCTTTCATTGCAGGAATTAGCTCTAATGAAAGCGGAACTGGAAAGTGAACGCGAGAAGCTTATTCGTACAACAAAGAAGCTCAAAGATGATTTGCAAAATGTCAGAAAGTGAGCAATTTTGCAAAACCATTATCTGAACAAATTCATGAGAAAGCTACCAGAATAATGCACGTTCTCACTACCATACTTTGACAGATTTCGTGATACTTCAAATCTTGCTTCAGCGAACTGAAAGTCACTAACGAGACCAAGATGACGCTGGAACAGGAAAAAATATCTCTAAACTCTAAGAACGAACATCTCCAAGCAAGCATGGAGGTACAAATCCGTTTTCGGAAATCTGAATGGCTCACATGCAAATGGATTTACCTGTAAAAGTGTACTGCTTCTTAATTGAGCGAATGCTGATTGATACTCTAAGCAGCTAGGTTAGAAAGCTTTAGGGACGTATCAGCTTTCCTAACAACAAATCGTTTAGATTCCTGAATCTTTGAATGCCAATTCTTAGGAAAAGCTCCTGATCAGTGGGCCTCGTTCACTAGTGGGGACACGAAGAACAGTACAACTTCGGCATGAACTCCTTATTTTCACAGTTTTGGAAAGAAACTGAAACTCACAACTCGCCGAACTATATTGTACCATAGATTTACTCCTTGCTAGACTTCTGTGGTAAAGAAGTTGAATACTTCAGCTTAGATTACACTTCCGAGAGAAAAGCGAGCTTCTGCTGTAAACGGCAAGAGCGAAAAACTCTTAGCTATGACGAAGCAATGGACTAAAGTGCTTCTTTAGCAAACTATCCAATGAAAAATCAGCTCAAAGATATTTGCCACGACCGACTTTCTATTAACCTCGGCATTGATCAGAAAATTGAAGAAAATCAAAGATATTTATTGGTTACTTAGTTAGGTATAATCCGACAAAATCGATCGAAAATGGTAAAAAAAACTGAAGAAAGCACTCATTAAACTTAAATTTGTATCGCATTCATCTACTAAACGGTTTAGATTTCTTGACTAGAGAGTGTTAGTGTTGCTGAAGAATGTTGCAGTCTTTAAATATCGAGAAGGAGAAGACTGAAGAACAACTGCACAACATTCTGCGAGAACGCGAGCAGTTCCTGCTAGAAAACCAAAATTTGTCGACGACTACATGCCAACTAAAGAATCGCCTGGCTGAAATCGAGACGAAGACGAGTTGCATTCAGGTGGAGAAGGAGAAAATCGAAATGCTGTGAGTGCAAATTAAGTCTGTATGGTGTAAAACAAAAAATGTCGCAATCCAGATAAGAATGCCAATGCCAGCGACTACAGCCAGGCATCAAAGAACAATGAGGAAGTACTCAGTGAAACACTTCTGGCTCTTGGTCAGATAGAAAATATGGTTATTAGAAGACATTTCCAATCTGCTGATTCACATATCCATTGCTGAGTTTTGTATACAATCGTGGCATTAATTAAAGAGAACCTTCTAGGGTGGTTGTTTAGACCTCACTCGACAGGGAAGTTAGCCTCATGACTTCGGAAACCAAGATCCCTTAAACTTAATACATTTCAAGTTTTTTTGCACTATGTCAGACTAATTTAGGCTTCATATGAACGAATGCAAAACACAGGACCTTGAAAAAGAACGACAATATTATACTAAACAGACCAAAGAGCTGCTTCAAAGTCTCAAGGTTTTTATACTCTTTCTTAAAGATTTATTGGATAACTTTTATTCTGCCTATCAGGGCTAATAAAAGTGTTGTTTCATTCTGTTTTAGGAAGTGAACGAGCAAAAGGAACATACTGAGTCGGAACTTCGCGAACAAGTCATGGCTCGTATTGGAGCAGAGAAACAACTGCAGGTAAGTGGTAATAGATCGAGAGAGCGCGAAAGAATATAACAAAGCCGAATTGCATATTGTTTCACCCGAAAGGTCTAAAAAGAAGAATTTGGTATATATATATATATATGTATATATATATATATATATATACCTACTTGATACCTGAGTGGCCCGTTCCCGTCCTCACTGGCTGTGTGGGTCCCAGCACAACCTCCATTTTTCGGAGATTTTCTGGTTAAGCCAATGGGGTTCCCTGGGATCCCATGGCATAGCCTGGCCTAAGTCTGCTGCAGGTCGTCACCACCACGAGCAGTCGCAGCCCTTGTTAACTATAGGCAGATTTGCCACCATGCGACTTTAATACCAGGACTATGGTTGATCCTGCCATTGATTTACTCTTCACTAGGCTGCCTGATGGAAACGCTGGACACCTTCCCAACTTGGGAGACCCTGCTAGGAGATGAATCACCTCGCTGTACATAGCAGTCCGACACTCATGAACACCTCCCAACCACGATGAGGTGGTAAAGCGTTTGGAGGTTCATCGTATCACACTAGTGATAATTACAATTTTCATAGCTATTTAGAGAAAAGGCCGAGAACGTCCGAAAAGAAAATACATGTTACTTTTTCTATTGCTGTTGTTGAAGCTACCTGACGTGGGAACAATATTTGAGAAATACGCATGCAAATTCGTCCAATTCTATGTGGCAGTCGCTCGGGATTACGTGTAAACCTTCCGCGATAAATCGGAAGAGCTCTTTGAAAAACTTCTTTGTCATTAATTCTATCTCATAGATAACAATTGTTCCCCATTCGTTTTCTTGGGACGAAGCAAAAAAGCAATGTCCTACTCAAGGAAAGCGAAAAAATTTTCTGCAATATACTCTTGTTATGCCACGCCAGAATCGTCTCCTGTTGTCACCAACTAAAATCTTTTGAACCGTCTCCGTGCAAAATGGTGTTGATTGCGCATTTCATCGTTCTTCGACCGGTTGGCCACTCACAGGAATCTCTCCAGTCGTGGGAGAACGCCAGTAATGAGAAAACCTACGAACCACATAGGTTGGCGATTACCTGTGCTGAACACATGGGAATGGTTTAGGACGGCAATCGCCGGATTCTAGAGGAGAGCACGCTTGACCAGCGTGCAACCTAGGAGGATATCATAAAGTCTCAAGCAACAGCCGAAAGAAAATGCAAATCTGAACACCTTTGTGAACGACAGTTGCGAAAAAACAAAACAAATGTAAAAAGAGTTTCGCGCGTCGATATTGCCTATGTGGAATCCCATTAGTCTTGCTCAATAAACGTTTTTGGTGATCACTGAATTAAAAACCGCCAGTTCAACACAAGTTCTCGAGTCTTTCAGTAGGATGTTATACTCCGTTGAATCCTCCGCTTTCGCGTTGGTGGTAGCTGAATATATAATGCCATATATATATATATGTAAATGTAAAATGTTTTATTCTCTATTTTCTGCCTGCTACAGTTTTTACTATCTATAGTTACTAGATAGAACTAGCTGAGGGATGGGCGAAACGAAGGATCCTCATGGTGTGGTGATGAACGCGTTACTCTCCTGAAAGGACAATGGCGCGTTCGTTCCCCACTGCAGACACCCGTGGTCCGGAGTTTTGCAAAAATCTCAGCAACGTTGTGGTTATATATATATATGTGACATACTTATCTACATAACTATTCTTTAACTAAAGTGAATCTTCGCACGCAGAAGAAGGTGGTCTGTTCCGATGCAAAAGCCTAGCAAGTTATAGATGCCGAATGGAGTTCCTCGTCCGTTTACACGTGTATAATCGTTTTTTATGATTCTTACCGTTTAATACCTCCCAGCTCGTTTGGCGACTGTAATATTTCCTCATGAAAAGGGCTTCCTATGAATGATTGGCGGAGTGTAGCCTCTCAAAACGAGCGCACTTATCCTCATGATGTTCTGATATGGATTTTCCTACTTTCTATTCATTCTTTTTCTCGCGCAAATCCCTAAGTCAAATCGCCATTGACACATAAAGAACGACTCTACTAGCGTTGTATGGTATATGCGTATTCGTATGCAGTCTCCAAAAGGTGTCATGTGTGCTTCGTTGTCGTTCGGACCCGGCGACGCCTTTGTGAACGAAATTGTTGAATAGTAGTAGACAGCAGTAGTTCTCTCTGCATTAATGTGAAGGCGTACACAAATATTTGTTGGGCTGGATCAAAGGAAACTGCTGTCATATGATGATCTGCTTTTAATGAAGTGACTCCCTTGGGATTGTCTATACCCGTTAGCAACTGCTCTAAATTTCGAAAATAGTCAACCACAAACCTTAACGGTGCCCTTTCCGAAATGCGTGGAAACGAGAAAGGATGAAGGATAAACTCTTCGATGTTGATCAATCTTTAAAGGATGCGTCATACATTCGACTTCATTGAGCACGTTGTAGGTGCATACGTGGCTTTTACAATGACCCGCGGTACCCTGCCGATGTATCAAGCCAATGCTGCTATCCTCCCAGACAAGTTCGGTGCCAATTTGCAGACCCCGAAGGGATGGAGAACTTGGTGGGCCTGAGGCGCGAAGATCGATCCCATGTGTATTTCAGGAAGCCTCCTACCACCGCGCTACATGCGCTCCTGAGCCACCATGTGAAAATGATAGTAAAAAAAATGTAAACTCATTGGTCAAAAAGATGCTAACTAATGTCAACTATTTGTCTCCTGTGCAAAGCTGTTGACACAATAGTCGAAAAATTTTTCATTGGAACTAACTGTAAAGCAACCGAAAAGGAAATCCCCAATCCTAAATGTTGAAAAAGAGCTTTTCAAAAACAATAACTTCCTATAGGTGTTGTTAGACATGAAGTGGTAAAATCATTCTTGTGCACCGTTCTGCCTATCGTTTATCTACGGAAAGACATTAGTGTCCCATTCATGGAAGTTTAAGGAGCGAACACGATAACATAGAGTTGCTTCACAGTGTTTTAAATTTTTCATACCACTGCACTACTTATTTTATTTTCGTTTTAACCTTTTTGCTATTCTTTGGAAAGACCACCAAGCATAGTTCAAAATTATAAGATTGAAAGAAGCAAGCTCCTCTTCCTTGCGTCGGCCATTGAAGCACGTTATGACATATATGAATACGATTGCTGCCTTTTACTACATATGTGAGATCAGTTTTCCATCTCCATTCTGCCAGAATCTGAAGCGCTGTTTTCCTGGATTCTGATTAGCATGTAGGAGAAAGTCAGCAGATTTCAAACCTTACTGTCGCAATGAAACTTTTGTGTACACCATGCATTACCCACATTTCATGAGGTGATTAGATTGAGAGGCGCGTTAATGTGAGTTGATAAGATCTTCAACCAAGTTACGAGGTGTTGAAAACTATCACGTTGCGAAGAATTTTTTCTTCTGATACACCTGTCTCTGCTTGAGCTATAAAATACTTTTCGTTTGAACTGCTGTGCTATTGGGTAGAAAGTCGACACTACTCTAGTTTTGTGCTAATTCGAGAATTCTATGCAAAAACTGTTTTCGAATTAAAAATTAGCTCTAGACATGACGCTTACTTTGAAGGACTTTAATCTAGGCTGCAGAGAAGGCTCTAGAGCACCTCGAAATGGCGTTGAAAATGACGGGTGCTCAGATGACGGAACTACAGGAACACATTATGCCCGATGTACATAAACTCAGAGGTTGGTTCAGATTTCCCATTACGGAATCACTTATTTTACAATTATGTTAGAATTGTTTAGTTCAGTATACATCTGGTGTAAAAAGGAAGTTGGCTTTCATAAGAGGCCAGTAATGGTAAAACTAGTAAATATTTAATTCTATTTCTGTCGTTGATATTCTTCCTAAAAGTGAACCAATACGACCATAGGATTCCTTTATTTAGTTGGTGGAACGGTATAACGCGATGTGCTGGAACGCGTTGTATTTCGGTATATGTGAATGTCTTCGCAGATCATTTTCGCTACTCCGAGAAAGAGCGCACAAAGAGAACCCTATTTCTTCTTTTCTGCGGCACTTCACTGCATGAGCAGACCCTCAGCATCTGAAGATCTCGGCCGAGAAATTTTTCGTACCCTGCGTACCACTGTGCCCAGTGCGATTTCATTTTTCTGAGTTCTTTGGAATTTCCACTCACGGCAAATACTCTGTCACCTTCCACGATTTCAACTTGAAACTGGAGCATTTCTATGATTCTCAGCGGCCGAAGTTCTGTAGAACTATCTCTTCTAATGTTTTCACGTATTGTTTTCTACCTTTTATAATTTTCATGGCAGTTTACTAAGCGAAATACAACCACAACGTTGCTGAGATATTTGCAAAACTCTGGACCGCAAGTGTCTATGGTGGGAAACGAACGCGATATTGTCCTTTGCGTGGAGTAACGCGTTCACCACCACACCATGCGGGTCTTTCGTTTCGCATGTCTCTCAGCTATTTCTATCGATCTTTTTGCTACAGCAATCACCCGCCAGCGAGGTTGATCTGGGGAGCCTAAATCGGCATAGAACCCAGTTAAGCTGTGGCTGTAGTTGAAGTCACAATGTTTTTACGTATTGTTTTCTGCCATCTATAATTTCGCGTTACTCCCCGGAAAGGACAATAGCGCGTTCGTTCCCCACCATAGACACCTGCGGTCCAGGGTTTTGCAAATATCTCAGCAACGTTGTGGTTGTATCTCTTCTAAGTTGTTTAGGTCTCATTCAAAATCTGACTGAAGATTGGGTCCATATGGTTGGCTAACATGGTGGTTTCATTGGAAATTCAAATTGTTTAAATTAGTTAGAAAAATAGAAAAAGTTAAAGGTGCTGCATTTAATAAGACGCTCACGGCCTAATAGTTCAAATTTCATGCTGGTACGCACTGCAACAGGCAGCTCAATACACAGGTATTTTCCGGGTGTAGGAAGATTTTGCTAGACTTAAGGCGCGATAAGCGACGAGTGTAGCGCATTGGTCGGAGGCGCCCTGCAACACTCACGTGAAATCGATCCCTACACCCATGGCTCACAAAGCCTTCCTTCCTTCCGGGGTCGGCAAATTGGTACCAGGGAGGATAGCAGCATTGGCTCGATACATCGGTGGGCCACCGCGAGTCATTGTAAAGGCCAGATATGCATTTAATCACCTCCAAACGGTGCTCAATGAAGTAGAAGACATCGTGCATCCCCCAATGATTGATCAACACCAAGAACTTTACTTTTTTTAGTACACGATATTATTTTCAACATGTTGATCAGTATACGCACTCTCTTACTTTTGCTCTTGTAGTATTACCACTTCCTTCTCCTTGTGTGTCGAACCCATTAGACATATGATCCCTCGCTCAAGTCCTCTCTCATTCCAGTTCTTCATCATGGCTGGAAAGTTGTGTATTAGATGTCTTTGAAATATTAGCAGATTTCAAGAATTATTAGTCTGTTGTTCAATGAAATATAATGAACTGCTCTCAATAAAAGCCTACCCGCGATCAGTATATGGTACTTTTGAGTTTTAAGAACAAATTCATGGGGAGAAATCGGGAAAAAAAAGGGGAAACTATGAAGAGAAACTTGGGGTGAAATAGATATGCAGTGTGGTGGACACATTGACCGGGAGGAAATCCGTGCATGCCCTACGAACTATACGCTCCAACTCATCAGTCACTGATGTGTTCATAATTAGAATGCCTAGTGTCATCGGTAAACTATTTGCTAAATTTTTAAACACATTTTATACCTTTTGGTATTTTTAATCATACATGTTATTTGTTGCAGAATATTTCGAACAATGTGCGCATGAAGCTGAGCTTGAAGCTAATCGTACCGGAATCATGCGACAAGCTATTTATGCAAGGAAGTGAGCCTCTAGAGTACTTGATCTAAAAGACACCAAGGAACTGGAAAAGATAGTGGATAACTGATGCCTTTGATATTCATAGCACAAGAGCGAGAATAAGAAACTCTTGTAGTGTATTTTATCTTCACTTTGCTAAAGAATAGCAGACGTTGAAACGAAAAGCGGAATGTGCTTTCGTAGTGTTAGTTCACCTAACGCTAGGTGAGAGTAAGTGAATACACGTAGTACGAAAAAAAACGGCAACCTTAGCGATTGTTAAACAGATTACAAGGTAGCCATCTTTTTGTCCTAGCAGACAAAGTTCGTTTCCTAAGCTTTGCAGAATCTGTAGATTAGCGAATGTGGAAGGATAGATAGTAGTTATTTAGCGGTAGCGCAATTCTTTTATCGTATACAAGAAAACAGCGAATATACTCAACGATTTGAAACGACTCTGCTATTCTTGTTTCGGAACGACTACTCTTATTTACCAAAAATTGGCGAAAAAAGCAAAGCTGTGGCCTCGGTGCTGAAGTGGGCAACACGTGAGCCTCCCGACAAGGTAGTAGCTTATTCGAAGCTCACGTAAAGTTTCGAGTTCACCTGAGGTTCCAAACATATGAGCACCATTGTGATCGTATTTCACATAGTACTGTACCATGAACGAACAGTAGGTGGTAATTAAGAAGTTAAACACTGTACCTACTATGTTTAACGTTTTGTTTCCTGCCTTCTATAATTTTCATGGCAGGTTACTAAGCGAAATACAACCACAACGTTGCTGAGATATTTGCAAAACTCTGGACCGCAGGTGTCTATGGTGAGGAACGAACGCGTTCGTTCCTCACCATAGACACCTGCGGTCCAGAGTTTTGCAAATATCTCAGCAACGTTGTGACTGTACCTACTATTACTATTCAAAAAATCGACCTTCTATAAACCTGGGCATAATAGTCGATATATCTGTATATATGTTCTCACGAAGGGCGCGTGTGGCGCAGTGGTTGGAGGCGCCACTGCGACTCATGCGTGGAATGGATCCCAGCGCCTATGGCTCATCAAGCCTTCCATCCCTCCGGTGTCGGAAAATTGGTACCAAACTTGTCTGGGGGGATAGCAGCACTCGCTCGATACGTCAGTAGGCCACCGCGAGTCATTGTAAAGGCCAGATATGCATTCAGTCACCTCCAGCGATATTAATGGAGTCGAATGCATGGCGCATCCCTCAGGGATTGATCAACGCCGAGAGCTTTATCGTTTATACTTTTATGTTCTTACGAACCGCTCCCCTTTAACCGACGCGGGATTGGTAGTATTCTTATTGTTGTTGCCATTTTGTTAATTAACGGTCGAGGTTTCGGCGACCAGTGTTGTGGTGTTCATCCCTCGTGGACAACAAACGGGCGCTCTAACGGCAAGGATCTGAGGAAGGCGATGTCGCAGAAACGTCAGCCATTGCTGAACAAAGACGGTAACAACAATAAGAACATCTATATCAACCTCGTGTCGGCTAAAAGAAGGCGGTTCGTAAGAACATATATACAAATACTATTAGTATTGTTAGTAGTTATTAATGCTGTAGTACTAGTACTATAGCATAACTGTGTATTGTTCGCTTACGCTCAAGGAGGTACCGCACTGCTCTCTCTTTGGAGTAGAGAGAGAAGACATGAAGGAAATAGCGAAAAATTTGGGAAAGATCATTGCTCTCTGGCAACGTAGGCCATGGAGTAGGCTCAGGCAGTGGACTCAGCGGTGGTTGTGTGGAATTGCTACTGTTTTCCGTTATCAATGCCCGATTTTAACTTGTATATTTAAAGTGCCATATTTCAGCACGGATTATAGAAACAAAGAACTACTGGAATCTAAACATTTTTGCCGTGTCTTAAAACGGCTATTTCTTTGACTATCATTCATGTGTGGCATCCGTTTGTGGAGTGTCTTTGACTCACCAATTTGTCCAAATATTTCGAAACAGTTGAGATACTCACACCGAGTTTTTCTGTCAGGTGGTTCGATTTGCTTAGCCGACGGCTCAACCCACACCGATTATGCTTGGACTTCGCGTCGAGCACGCAGTTTCCCATTCCTTCGGAGTCGGGAAATTGGTGCCAAACTTATGTGGGCCAAGCTCATTTGCTCTAACCCATTTTGGAACTTCGTAGCGCTGTTGCCCCAGTTTTCCATGGAGAATCGAGTCCACCAGCTCTCAATGACATTCGTGACGAAGGAGAAAAATCTCCCTGCAAGGAATAGAGCTACACTCAAAAACAAGTTTGAAGGTCTTTTCCGATGGTGGTACCAAGGAAACGAATCATGTGCAAGAAATACTGGGTTCCCCACAGCATGTGATCTCGGGCAATTTAGCAGATAACAATGGTAAATAATGCATTTATCTCAAGTCATAAGTTGTCGTGAAATTCTCATAAGGCTTCTATTTGGCTAGAAAAGTTTAGCCGAAGAACCTTCATAGCAACCCTAGGTTAGGTTACCAGCAGAAAAATACATTAACTATTCATACCAAGGTCAAATGAAGGTCACTTCATAAGAAAAATTCCTCGTTTACTCTTTCGAACTTTTATCGATACAGTGAGGGAAAAGTGAGAAATTCTTAGGAAAGTACCATGATTGTACGTCCATAACGATTGATTAGAACATTAGACGCATAACTAGCTGCCTAGATTAGGCTGAACAACGCTCTAGCATTTTTCTAAGACAAATTCCTTTTAAGCTCGGCATCCATCAATAATTCACTGTTTCCTTAATGAGCAAACACCAGATTGCTAATGCAGCATTTATTAACTCACAATAGCCGACGTTTCGCAGGTTGCACCCTCTTCAAAGCATAGAGCGTTCAGATTGACACGCAATCCGTTCATCCAAACACTTCGATTACCTCAACAGGTGACACTTAGCGCATTATTCCTACACATGCAAAAAATTTATGTGGTAAGTTTTATCTGCTGGAAAAAGTATTTGGCTAAATGGATTGGGTGTCAATTTGATTTTTCGAGGCTCTGAAGAAAACGAGATCACCTAAAAGTCAGCTATTGTGAATGAATGAATGCTGTAATCATAACCTTGTATTTATTATACCCCGATGCTCCTTATCTTGACTGTTGATGATCAGCGATACTGTTGCTTTAACCATGTATTTATACTCTCTTCACGATTTTTTTTTGATGTGCCAGAACTTCATAGGAAGCTTATTTCTTAAAAGCTTGACGAAAATAAGTTCAGATCCATCCGTCGCTCGAAGCGCAACATGCGTTCATCCCTTCGACGACAGTTCTCAGCTAAGGATAAGGAAGGCCAGATTGATAAGGACGTCAACGGCAATGCTTTGATTCAGATCTGACTGGCCGCTGTACATGAGATAATTGCCTACATTTTCGTGCTAGTTGTAGATAAAATACAAAAACTATTGTGCTCTAAAAATGTGATGTGTTTTCATGTCCCGAAAAAATTCATTGTTCTGTGTGATTTTTGAGACCCTTTGTCATTACACTTTAGGAATTGGCAGATTTTTTAAGAAATATACGGTATTGGAATAGCTATAGAATTTCCGATTCTCTCTCGTCCATGTTGGAATTGCTTCGAAGTTCGAGTATTTCATCGCCAACGCTTTCCTCAGAGCCTCCAGAACCTCACCATGAAGTGAAGAATGGCATAATTTACCGATATGTATATCATTTGCCGTGTTTTTTTCTATTTTATACACTTTAATGTATTTTAAACTATAGAACTTCGGTTATGGCCAGAACCAGTCGAAATAAAGCGCATAAAAAGTACTCGTTGAGTTCATCATCGCTCTACCACTGTACAGAGTGTTACTGTGTTGTTGGGGCTCTAATGGTCGAATCCAAAAAGTGAACAGTGGTATTCAATGAAAATCAGTTTCTTAATAAAGTTAAGAATCGTGAAAAAATACAATAAGAGCGGAAGGCAAAAGTTGGCTGATCCGGAGGACAGTGCATTTAGACGCTCTGCTTTCATTGGTGCTCGTACACTGAAGACAGCGGAGTGCTGAGAATAAATTTGTTTGGTTAAATATTGACGAAAAAGAGAACAGCAGTGGTCTATAGGCGTTTTTTTCTTTATCTCACAACTATCCAGTTAGATAAGACTTCCTGTGCACACAGTCACTGAAGGAATACTTCATGCTATTATTTATGTTCCTTTTTGTTTTTTCACTCTTTTCTCTTTAAAGTAGCTACTTACTGCTCAGCCCAATCTACGGCTCTTCTCAGCAGTACATATTGTTCAGTTATTTTAGTCCTGGAATGTTATCTGCTCCTCTTGCACTTTGTGGTCGTCGTCAAAAGGAGGGAGAATTTCGCATACGCTGAAGTCGACGGGATCAACATTAATTATATCCAGCTGCAAACGCACTAGGGCTACAAATACATCTGCTCGCTTTTTAGCTGACCATTTAGCTGACCATCTAATAAGGCGTATTTCTGCTGTTGTGTTCCACTTTCCAATATTTTTCGCTTCGCATGCTTGTTCAGATGGATCTCGAAGCGAAAATATTTTTCGAATTCTTGAACTGCGCTGCTCGACTAGACGTCATTTGTTCCACTTCTCTTTAAGAAACTACTACTAACTTTGTTTGCGAATGGCGCGTAAAATTTTCGACTCGGTTGACGAGTTGTCCAATGTCTCAGTTGTCTAACATAGCACTAAGAGGGCTGTTGTGTGTAGCTTTAGGCACGTCAGTTGAATGGTGTTTTGTCTGTCTGACAAAGAGTCGACGCATACTCTCTAGATCCTTCTTCTCTAGAGTTATTCTTTAATTTAGTTTACTGTGTTTCATTGCAACCTCTAAGGACGTGTAGAATACTATTTCTGCAACCACAGAAACCATTTGTTTTAATTCGACATTGATGACATCTTGTACCACTGATTTCTCATGAATTGTGTTTTATCCCGATGAAACTGAGTTTAATTTGAGTTCTTTTCAGTAAGCAATGAAAAATTCAACCGTCTTTGACTTTTACAACTAAACTTTCTCTTTAATATATGAAATAACCACACAGTCAATAGTCATCCGAAGGCAAGCCAAACCTTTCCACACCTATTCTTTACTGCAGTCGAAGGTCACTCCGATGGAGGTTGATAATGGGCCACGTGTGCTAGAGTCCACTTCGCTGTCTTAGCCACTTCCAAAATCTGAGAGATCTCTCGATTTCTTAGAAATCTCCATCGTGGAAACCGGAATAATTTAATCAATCAATACTTTGTCAAGGTGTATTGTCTCAAGAGACCAATATGTTACTGATTACATCGGTGATAATATTTGAGGACCTTGAAATCACTCTTCTTTCTGTGTTCTCTATTAATCTTTGTACAAATTAGCCGAATACTCTACGATAGTAGGGTCGTATGACACATGACAGCATCCCTTTCCTCATACCTCATGTGGCAGATAAAAATTTTAATACCTAGTGATTCCTCATTGCCACCTTTCAGTCTTCTCCGTTCATAATCTTGTCATTTTAGTGATGAAGCCGTTTGTTCGGAGAACACAAGCCTTTAATCTTTTCTTCAGCATTGTTTTATGCATTTTTTATATTACTGTTTTAAATGTGGATTTGTATCCGTTGAAAGCGTCTATAGTTAC